AACCGTCCTACAAATCCATCGTAACACTTTTAAATAGAATGTTTTATCGTTAATGTGGTTATATAAACTCAAGTCCTACAAGTATTTATCAGGACGCTTAGACGTGCTAGGTGTCCAATAAACCTAATTTTATTGTTGGGAACGTAACACATCAAAATGATCGACTGATCGAGAGTCGAATATTTTAAATTAAAAATAAAATAAAATACATCACTTAAACACGGATATTTGACGATAACTAAAGTATTATAACTACAAAAAATCAAACACACACACTATAAATGTGTTTTTTGGAATTAAAATGATGATGATATTTTACTTTAATTAAAGTAGCTTATTGAATAAGCTAGCCTTTTAAAACAGACCGTTTACTTAGGAGTCGTTTACTATACACTTATTCGGGTAAGCGTCTATCAAATCAAATTACCTTACCGGATGAATATGATAAGAACTAAAAACCTTACCTAGTATAACATAAGGTTTGTCGAACTACATATCCCATTGTATGATATATTGTTGATTCTCTCTCATTGATTTGATGATAATCTCTTTTACTTTTCGAAGTATTATTGTTTATGTCTTTTCAGTTACAGAGATCATCACTGAGTATGTTCAGTGATCGTTGAAACACGCATTGTAATTCTACAACGATAGTGATACTTTAAAAAGACAAAACTCACACCAAAGAACCTTCAGTGAATGTCGAAGACTGAAACTGAAGATTAATGACTAGCGCGTTCGTGATATGAAGCGGTATTCAGTGATTACATCTTGGTCAACATATGTGTGAAGACTGCACAAGCCCCAGTGAATGCTGAAGAGACCTCCAACACTATTCTAGCATTCAGCGATCAAATGAAACTTGTCATGTACGATTGTTTTTGTCTTGTCCTTCCACACATAAATGACAAACCCTACCCTTTCAAGAGTATAGTACTGCACGGGGCTGACTAGTCGACTCTAGTGCCTAACAACTCCATGAAAGGATATATGCTCATGAATGGACAAATGTACTATTCACTGTTGCAAAGGACAATATTTCATCTTAAAGCTTGATGCATGTTCTAACCCTTCTCATTTGTTTTTAATTCAATAGGTATAAATACCTGAGTGCTCTCCTCATGCACAACACATCTCTACAGCACACAAAAAAACACATATGCTTATCTTCAAGCAAGTTAGAATTTCTCTCTAAATTCTAAGAAATTCTAAAGTTCTTACCCAAGAAGAACATCTTTTTGTCTTTATCTTTTCGGCAAATTTCTTGTAGTTGCTAAGTATCTTTGTGTGTAATCTTACATTGTTTTATATAGGTTATTTTTACCTTTTCTATTTCCGTAAACAATCTGTATTGATCTTTCTATATCAATATATATTTTTAAATTCGAAAGTTTTATGTGTTTATATTCATCTCCCCCTCTACAAACTGTTCCTCTAAACTCTTGTAGACCCGACTGTGACCAACATATACCCTTTTCTAAAATTGTTTTATAATTATGTAGCAATAATTAATGTTGAAACCGAGAACAACCGAAAATTAATGGATTTTTATAGTCATTTTGTCTTCATATCAACATTTTTTCTTCGTTTTCGTTTATCGTATATATAATTCTAGTAGGCTAAGAAGGTATATAAAACTTTTACGCTGACATAAATATGTCAAAAATGTCGATAAACACTAGACTCGCGATTATAAAAATCCAAAACTTTCCTAGTGTTGGTAGGATGTCATTTCCAATTGCGTATGATACAGAAGAAGGCTAATTGGAACTACTAATTTTCTGTTGTCTTTTTAATTTGTTGTGGCAGACAAATTGGAACCAAAGGGCTGCTTCTAGAGTTAAATGCCTTTACATGATGATTTTGCGCTGATTGTCTTGTGACCAGCCTTGACCGGGCAAAAGTAAGGGCTTTAGCCACATCGGCTTTGGGTACATCCATACCACCATCAATAAACTGTCGGTACGAACAAATAAAGGTAACACCGAGTCCCAACACCGAATTAAGCTTCGGGGTTGTCCAGTCGACTCTTGTTCCGCGAATGACAACGATGTCATTTTTTGAAGTCCCGATGGCGGCGTAATATTCTTTCACCAAGGTCTCGTTGGTTTTACAAAGAACGGAGACCATATGTTCCCAATGGTGGGCAAGTAAATGATGATTAACACATACGAGCTTTTCGGCTAACTTTGGCTCGAAAACTCGTTCAATCAAAAATCGACTTTTCTTAATGAGTTCTAATCTTTCATCAATCGAAATAATGGCACAACTTACTCCATGATGCGGTCCGTTTATGTGTTGGTGTAGGGGTTGTCATTTCGTACATTTCAAGTACAAAGTCATCATTCATTGATTAACATACATTAATTTACATGTAATTTAATAAGAAATTGTTACTTCAAAGTGTTTTTGCTCTGAAGGTTCGGCTTTTTTTATCTTCACAACATGTTGCTATGAAGTTTCAAGTGTAAAAAAATGGTCTCACAAAAACAAGTTGATCTCACGTAAACCTAGCTCTTGTTAACAACATGAGAAAGATGAAAACAAATCCAATGGGTTGTTTGAAAAGGGCAAATATCATCATGGTTTTGAAACCATTTGCTCATGTGTTACCCCATGGATCCATCAATATTGGGTCCAACATGGCCAGCAAAAAGGGCTTAATGCTTAATGGCTCTTCTTTTAGAATAGACTTCACATATCTGAATTTTTGTTTTTGAAATAACTTTGTTACTTTTTATTTATTCTTTTTTTGTTTTAAAATAAAGTCTAAGTACATTTTATATAATAATAATAATAATAATAGTACCAAATTTGAATGAAGAAATTTAATACAAATTATGGAAGTTCGAAAAAATTTGGTTCATACAAAAGAAAAACTATGTTTTATTCGGTTTGAAAGATCCTTATGAACTTGCAGAGGCATGGTGAAGGTTGTAGCGGCGACAATAATGGTGGGAGTAAAGCGGTGGTAACTGGTGGACAACGGTTAATGTGGAAGATGTGAAGATGGTAGATAGTGGTGGTAGTGGCCGATAGTGGCGGAGGTAGAGGTGGCAGTGGGCAGTGGTAGTGGTAACCGATAGTGGTGGTGGTGGACAATGGTGACTATCGAGGATGTAAATATGGTCGACAAGAGGTGCGGTGAAGATTGTTGTGGCAACAATAATAGTTGAAGAAGAGGTAGTGGTGGCTGGTGGACGACAGTGATTGTGGAGGATGATAACTCTCATTTTGAGTGTTATTTACACATTGTTTTTGCGTGTTTTTCTTCCGTTATAGTGTGAATTTCCCTTTTATGTGTTCATATTCTCTTTTTTATTTATTTATATTTGTCTGGAGGTGTTGAAGATAAAAGTTTGTAGCTTGATGGTTGGACACATCATTTTTGGGTTAATAGAAAATAGCCCAATAACGACCAATAAATCCCTGCTACAGCAGAAGTCTTAACAAATATAAATGTAAATAATAACCTGAAGCTAATCCGTCCCATGCCGGATTACGTTACAAAATCAGTTCAAACATAACGTCTAACCTTCTCAAAGTTTGATACTTACTCAATAGAAATATAATTCACTAAGCATGACCCTTGCCCTTGTCCACCCTTGAACCCCGTGTCTCTAAGATACATACTAACAGTCGGCTTTACAAAACTCAGCGAGTTCATGGTTTGCGTGTACAAATCATACATGTCTCATCATGCAAACAACAAACAAAATACCCAAATAATATGCATATCAGTTTCAAAAACTCATTTTTAAATAATTTCGAAATATCATAAACTGTCCCATCGGATAAAAGTCATATTTTCTTTGGCATTAAATGCGTATAAATATATAATTAAAAAATAATATCATGCATAACATATGAGTCCCAAATAATTCTCATGCTCATATAACTTAAACATAAGCATGCATCCCATTATAAGTCTCATGAAGACTCACTTGTATGTGTAAGCCGATTAAAGTCAAGAACCGACCAAATAGCCTACAATTTCATACCATAGTATTTAATAAATTGTATAAATTCCCAAAAGTGAACTTATGATCAACCTTGGTCAATGTCAAAGTACTAAACTCTGTTATATTTCATAATGTCTAATTAATATTTATAATTAGACGATCTCATTGTCCCAACTAAAAACGTCTCGAATAATTTGAATATCCCAAAAGACGTAACTAAAAATGATTATTAAATCATAATCCCCTCTCTATGAAATAATTAACTAAATAATTTTAATTATCTAAAATAAAATGATATATTAACCAAATAAAATTTGAAATTAATGTATCAATTAAATTAATTAATTATAATATAATTAGTAATTAAGTCTATAATTAATATAATTAAAGACCAACAAAATTCTTAAATCCAAACTATTTATATCATCCAATAATAATAAGATTAGGCTCAAATTAAATCGACATGGACCCAATCTGTCATATGTTTCTTATCATTGAGCCCATAATGTGTAAGCCTATTAGCCTAATATGGAGCACAAAACACAGCCCTCAGGCTCAGAGCACGTCCACCCCAAAGCGATCGCCGGTCGCCGGAAAAAACGTGAATTTCACTCTTTTCACGTTTTCCTCCGTTTTCCCTCATTTCTTAACATTTCCATGATTCTTTTTATAAAATAACACCATCAAATTCGAGTTTATGTGGAAAAGCCAATCCAGTGGGTTGGAACCGTCAAAGAACGGCAGGTTGATTTTATGTGGTCGAGCTGGAACGAGTGGTCGGGAGTTGGTGGGGTGAAGTTGATGTCGTCGGTTTTTGGTTTGAACCAGCAGTTTGGGTCGGGTGGGCTGTCCGGATTGGGTTCTGGGGTGATGTCGAGATTTGTGATCGCAGATACGCGGTTGGCGGTGGTGAGGGTTTGGGCAGCCATTTGCTTTTCTAGGGATTCGATTTGGGAATTGGTGTCCATCATCCTATAAAGTCGTGCTTAGTTAGCATGTTAACGTTAAACGGTTTTGTCAAACAAAGACGATGAACATGAAAGAGATCGAAGGATATATAACTTTATTGCATATGTAATCGGAAACACAAACAAAGCACGCAGAATACTTGTAACTGCATCATCTTTTCGTCTCCTTAATTTTCTTATTTAAGTGGCAGTAGTACAAAGAGTCCTTATAACTCCATCACTACCAGTAAGCGGATCAATGTCTCCCATCGCAACCATGGCTGCAGCGAAATCCGATGCAAATGATGCAGGATTGTCTATGTATCCTTGCACGATGCTATCAGCCGAGCCTCCGTTAAAGAGAGTCTGATCTGATATAAGCAGACCTCTTCTTTGCTCTAGGTTCGTGAAGTAGTTGTTGTCGAACCTGTTCGGAGTCACCAAATCAAGTGGTTCCAAGTTTCCATCGCCACCAGTGGTTGGGCAGTTGGCCCTAAGGTTGGCTGCAAAAATAGGATCTATGTTTGAGGCATTGTTGTATATCCTTCCCCTAAATGTAAGACATCTTGCTTGCCCAATTGTGTGAGACCCTGCGAAGCACCCAATTATTGTACAAGTTCATCAATGGAGGATTTAAAACCGAATTTTACTTGTAAATCGTGACAGCAACTATAAACCTGAATCAAAATGAAACCAACCTGACAAAGCAACCATCTCTCGTTCGCTGAGTCCCTTTCTTGCAAAGCTAGTAATGAGAGTTGGTAGCTCCTGATCACCTCTTGGAAGATCGGTACCGGTTTGATCTGGGAATGCAGTTGTAGAATCTCTTCTTCCAAGCCTTACAGACCATGATGGACCTTGCACCTACATATTTCAGTTGTGCACGACCTTAATTCATTTTCATTTTGTAAGAATACGTTAGTGAATTACTCTACGAGTCTTTAAGAAGAGAAGTAATGTTCCAACGTATATTGAAGAGAAAATGGTCCAAATTTAGCTAATATGGGACTCTAACGCGGTCCTCCAACTAAGGCTAGACGGGTCACAACTTGCCAGAGTATTGAGAAGGTTAGATGCCAAAGTGTCAAGTCCCTAGAACGGTAGACCGTGACGCTAATACCATAGGAAAATATATAGGACCTTGTTAAATTACTATCTAAAGAGCACTTACAAAGAGAGGGATGATTCAACTTATCGGGTGTTGGTGATTTGTATCACTAATATCATTTAAGTGGAATTAGATTAATTTGTTGACCAATGTAATCATGATAAATATCGAACAAGTAAGGAAGGTGCGGAGTGCACACTTGTTTGAGTTTATTTTGATAAACTAGGGGGGTCTGAGGGCAGCGCCCCCGGTGGCGGGGTCCAAGGGGCAGAGCCCCTGGCTGGGGTCGAGCTAATACTTCAAAAATCCGAATTTTAAATTTTAAACCCGGTTTTTGGCCCGGTTTTTTAAACCCGGTTTAGGGTTCAAAAATTGTCGTTTTGACAGTTTCCATATTCAATTTTTTAATTGGTCATTTCGTTTTTGAGAGGTACACAGATTCATAACGATTTGGATTCTCTGTTCTGTCAACCACTTAATTTTATCCGATTGAGATTTCGATTGTACTATATCGAAATACTTCAATCTGAAAGTGATACACGACTTTCAGTGGATTCCAAGCAATCGAAAACCAGAATTTCTAACATTGGGACTCTTAACAAAATTTATATGTAATTATATATAGTTTTGTTATTACCGCCACCGAAGCATCACGAGCTGCAACAGCCAGTACATCAGCACACGAAACAACGCCAGGACATATGTTCTCGACAGCAGCTTTAGCAGCATCGATAACTTCATATCCCCTCACACCTGAATTAGCACCCGTTGTCTTTTCACTTGGCGTATCGTCTAGTAAAATGGATGCATCACAACCCTGCAAAATTTACAAGATTAATTTGAGCAAAGTTGTCTCACCAATTACCAACTGAGCTAAATACAAGATTAATGTTCTTATTTTTTATACCAAATAAAATCACGTTAATTAGAATACAGATCATAAAAACTTAACACTAGAACTAAATCCGTTTTATAAGACGCAAAACACAACTAAACATCATAATTAATGTATCATTTTATATGACTTAAGTTTATAGGATCATGTGAGACAAGGTCGTTTTCGTTAGACACGTTAGACACGATTTTTACACTTGAAATTTCACAACAAAATACTGTTAAGGACAGTGTTTTGCTATGAAGATTCGGTTTTTTTACCTTCACAACATTTTGTTGTGAAGTTTCAAGTGTAAAAATCGTGTCTCACGAAAACAGTGTTGTTTCATTTGAACCCAACCACATGGACCAAACAATATAAAAGTGTTATAACATGATGTTACGACGTAATTTGGCATCTTAAAAGTTTTTTTAGGACACTTTATTAGCTTTTTTATATAGCACTCTTGAGAAATGTTTTCTGAAAACATTTTTTTTACACGAGACTTGTTTTTATAAGGCAAATTCTTAAATAATGTAATCATAAAAGATTAATAAACGTTTTACTCAAAATTTTCTAAAAACCTTTATGGGTCCGATATATTTCAACATCAATAATTATTACAACTTTATAATTATTAATAAAATTCAAATATATAAAACTAATAAAATGTTATTTGACACACTTTTTTTTATTAACCGGACGCGGCTACATGAGGATTTTTATTCCTGCTTAGGGATTTGAACCTGAGACCTCCAAACACTTTTGACCTTTGGAGAGGAGCAGCAATGAAGGAGATGATAAATACAGAAGTTGCAGTCCAGGGAAGAATCCCCGACTGCCATGTCAGCTCGATCTAAGATGGAAAAGGATCGAGACCTTTCTCGCGAAGATGGTCTTCTATAGTTTCAAAATCTCGACTTTATAACAAAACTACTTTCTAGGTCAAACCAATCAGACACTGCTCTTATGGTTTATTTCACACACGAGCCAAGTTTCTTATATAAAAACTTCAAAAATATGGGTGTCTTATAAAAGATGTTTGCAATAACACCGATAGTGACTTATAAGAATTAATTTTGCTTCTAAGCACATCTTGATCCTATAAACTTAATTAGGGGCTGTGTTTATCAGATGCTTACCTGGTTAAGTGCTTATGAAATCATATTATCTTACTTACTAGATGAATATGACAAGAACTAAGAATCTTACCCAGTAAGAGCCAAGGCTAGGACCGAAAGTCTTACCCGGTAAATGATGACGACAACTTTACCACGGTTACCACTTACCGGATAAGTGTTTAGGTAAACGGTCCCTTAACGTACAACGAAGTAGTCTATAAGACTATGGATATGTTTCACGTCCAAGCTCATTTTGCAGTAGCGAAATTAAGGGGAGAGACAGAGAAGGAATGAAAGTAACCTGAACAAAACAATCATGAAAATGAAGACGAATGATAGATGCTGCCATGCGATTTTCCGTTGTCACAGCATCAGTAATGACAGTATTAATGGCGGCAAGTGCATTAGGGCATGTGTCATCGTAAAACGTAGTAGACAACTGAGCGTTGCATGGCATGCAGTCCAGTGACAGAACTAAAATGAGTACTGAAACAAAGACACTTACACTACCACTAGGTTTTTGATAACCCATTATATGGTTGAAATCAATGCTAGAAAAGAAGACGAAAAGCTGTAAGTCTTTTGCCCTAATTTGAGAAGAGAACTGCATGCCATCCAGATATATATATACAGACAGCTGTGTAACCTGCTGAATGACAGGCAAGTTGTATAAAACTATCCAAAGACATTTCTGATTTGGCAGTTGAATTAGTCTTCGAAATACGTATTTGATCCATTAGAATGGTGAACTGATTCATTATTAACACTTATCCAAGATTTCTGGGCCACTTGATATATATATATATATATATATATATATATATATATATATATATATATATATATATATATATAAAAGAAGAAAAGTACTTAGCTTGTGGCAAGAACAATCAACGCATTAATGGCGGATTTGAATCAATCCCGTTTTGTCGCTTTAATTTGGAGCAGCTCCAATGGAGTGGTCATTGAAAGCTTGTTATTATTTGAAAATTCTTTTCATGAGAAGGCTTGTTATTATCAATGGAGTAAATGATTTATTAAAAGCTTTTGTTTAATAATTTGCATTCCATGAAATAGAGATCAAATTAGGTTTCAGATATCTCATAATATAAGAACTTATGGGGCAGTTTATCGAACACTTATTCAGTAAGTGCTTACCGGTAAAATTTAATTCTATTATTTATTTATCGGGTAAGATTTTAGTCCAGCAAAACGACATCGTATGTAACAATTTACTCGGTAAGCGCTTATCGTGGTAGGAGTCGTCGTTCTCACTTACCGGGTAAGACTCTCGGTCCTTTTCTCATTCTTACCGGGTAGGATTTTTGGTTCTTACCATATCCGTGAGGTTACGTGACTTGGTAAGCACATACCCGAATAAGCGTTTGGTAAATGACCCCTTCATTAAGTATATATATGTTTAATAATCTTTTGTGTCAAATCACGTGAATTAATACTAAACATTTAAATCATTAGGTATTAATACAATAGGTCACTTAAAATGCACCTATATTTATACTATATTATAAAACATTTGACAAATACTCTTAAAAATTATTTTTTATGCTTAAAGTACTGTTTATTGATGCATATTACTTAAAATTTGAAGTTACAAGTAAACTCTGTGTAAGTACAACTTATTAAAACTTCATGTTTGAATTCGTGTAACTAATTGCAGATAAACATAATCACCTACAAGATAAATATCTCATTTTAAATATAAAAAATCTAAAATATAATTAGAATAATATTGAGTCATACTTGTAACAGAATACTTAATTATTATCATTAATTATTTATTTCATAAGACATAAATGATGAATAAGAGTTCTTTTTAAACAAACGACATCTTATGATCACCAACATTAAATTTAAACTAATATAAGCGTCAAACGATATAACTTGATCGCTTTCTCAATTTTTTAACTTACTGGTTTTGTTGTTCGCTTTTTTAACAGAAAAAACCGTAAAGAATAGAAAATTATGTAGTAGCCTTGAAAAACGAGGAATTACATTCATTAGGTGCTTCTAATTTGTTTGTTTACTTCTTAATAGTTTTATTAAAAGACAGCCTCTGAATTGTTAAGAGATGAATCTTGTTTGGCAAAAAAAAATATGTTTCTTAATAGTTTTAAAACTCTCTGAATGATTTTGTACCATTAGCCTCCTTAACCATTCAGCACCCTAATTTCATTGTAAGCAATTATCGAACAATTATATTTCATTTTGCACTATATCATCATTCTACATCAAACCATTCAACAACCGTCAAACAGCCCCTAAATAATACTTGATTAAAAAATATTAAAAAAGACAAATTCAATTGGAAGATTTTATGAAACACTTAAAGTAAACTATCACAAATCATGCAAGATTAGGAAATATTAATTAATAAGCACATAAGACTTTTGAAAATATTAATTGCATTATGTATACAGACGATATTTTTTAAGATTGATTTTTATTAAATATCTATATATATATATATATATATATATATATATATATATTAAAGAAGAAATCAAAGATAATGAGGTGGCACTTTCTAATGCTTAGAACCCCTCGTATCTTTTTTTTTCATTTTTTTTATTTTTTTAAATGTTGAATATGTTAAAGACTTTTTTGCCCCTGGATGAAAAATGTATAACTCATAATTAACCCAGGTTATTTTTGTAATTTTGTATACCCAAGTCTAACCTCCAACTCTTGATTTGCTCTTTCATTTACTTTCTTTTATTTCTTAATGAAATTTGTTTTTCAAAGTTTCAATAATAAACAAAATGAAATCATATAAAATCATTTGGTGAGTGATGAAGAAGGTGAGAGTTGAAGAAGAAATCAAAGATTTTAAAAGGTATGTAGAAATTATATTCATTAAAAAATGTGATTTGTTATTACGTATTTCTTTTTCAATATTGTTGGATGTGTTGTTATCATAAGATATGATTGTGTTTACGATTGGATCATATAAATTGTGTTTACAATTTGATCATATAAATTCGAATAAAATTTTGATATTTTATTATCACAGGATATGATAAACTTTTTTCAAATTTAAGTTTCATTAACAATAACTATTTATACGTGATTGATAATTACGTTAAATTTTGACTCCTTCAAATTTTTTTCAATTAATAGAAATTCTTTGGTGAGTAATGAAGAAATAAAAGTTGAAGAAAACTTAAAAGCTTTTAAAAGGTGTGTAAAAATTATATTATTTACAAAATGTGATTGTTATTACATATTTTTTATTTTCAATATTATTGGATTTGTTGTTATCATAAGACATGATTGTGTTTACGATTGGATCATATAAATTCGAATAAAGTTTTGATATTTTATGATTACAAGATATTATAAAAACGAATTTAAACTCCGTTCACAATAATTGTTTATACGTGATTGATAATCATTAATATATATATATATATATATATATATATATATATATATATAAGAGAAACCAAATACAATAGGTGCCTTTCTCTAAATATTATAAACTTATCTTTCTTTTTTCCTAAATTTTTGATTTCTTTAAAATATTTGATATATAAAAGACTTTTTCATCCCTATTTTAAAACATGAAATTCATTAAAATAGTGTTGTTTTAGTAATTTAAAAAAGCTTAACCTCCAAATTTTTCCTCTTCATTCTTGGAGATGAAACTTCTAAACACTTTCATGTGCTCCTCCATGATTTGTCAATATTTTTATAATATTAAATAAGTTATATTATTATTTATACCCCTAAATGATAAATATGTATTCCATTATAAGAAGACTTCTGTGACCACTTCCAACTTAATTAGTTTTAACTTTCACATTACATAAATTCATAGGGATATTCATTATATTATTTTCATCTACTAATTAAAATAAACTTACAATAAATGTTATGGCACATTGTCAATATGATTTTCTCAAGAGATTTTCTCATTGTTTTTAATTTATGAAATGTTAAGTAAGTTCAATATTTTTTTACCCATGAATGAAAAATGTGTATTTCATTATTTTCTCCAAAATGAAAACAAAATTTTCCAAGCCAGAGATGCCTTAATTGAGCATTTGGCATCATTATTTTATATAAATCTAAAAATAAAATATGAATTTTCTTATGTGACACTTTGTGGAAAAGTTATTTCATAATTCATTTTTTTTTTCAAATTTTTGGATTTATTTTGGACTTATTTTGTTGATTATATTAATTATCTTTCATTAACTCATAAATCTTCTAGACTTTTCATTTTCTATTTTGTTTTTTATCTATCTATATATTTCATAATTTATTTTTTTTATAAATTTTTAGATTTATTTTGTTGGTTATATTAATTATCTTTAATAACTCATAAATGTTCTAGACCTTTCGTTTTCTATTCCGTTTTTTATCTCATCTATATATTATATCTCATTCAATATTTTTAAAAGCAAATAAACGCACTTATAAATACCACATGAATATCACATTTTATTTGTTTTCAAATAAATAAATACATAAATATCATTTTAAGTGTTTTTACTCCATAAAATTCATGTAAGAATTGTTATATTTTATATTTATATTATTTAAACAAACACTTAAAATGATGTTTATGTATTTATTTATTTGAAAACAAATAAACTGTGATATTCATATGGTTTTTGTATGTGTAGACTTTGTATGAAAAATAGAAAAAAATTTAATTTTTTATATATTCGGTAAATAAAAAAAAAGAGTGTCATGTTTAATATTTCTGAAGAGATTTATTTAATGATGGTTTAAAGTTTTAGTTATCTATTATAATGATTGATCGTAACGTATCAACAATTGTGAGGATGATAACATGAACAAAAAAAAAATATGAAAGTCAATAAATTAATCATTATATTTATAACTATAATAAAAGAAAATGATATATACATGAACTGACATTGTAATATTTCAACATTAGTTTATTTTTTTTTCTAAAAAAATTATCGTCACCGTACAACGCACAATGCACAAAACTAGTTAACAATAAAAATAAAATATAATTGAATCAGTGATAACGTAGGGGAATGGTCTTAAACATGTACAAGTGCTGAATACATCAACCGATTATTATCTAAATCAAATTGACATCTTCAATCAGACGTGTGGTGTGTGAAATTAAGATGGCAGCCATAGTAGCATTAATTATTAAGACGACTCCTCCACATATTAATTATTAATAACTTTGTGTCCACTTCTCTACCCCATATAAAAGGATAGGTTTTGCTTAATTCCTTTAATGCACCAACTTCCAACCATATATATATATTACAGGGTCAAAAACACATGTGATACTGGATTATGACAACTAACAGTTACCAAATATTCATTAATTATATCTGATTGTACAAATGTACTGAAACTGATGATTCTGTAAAGAATGTCTCAGTATATCTTTTTTTTATCTGCAACTCACGTAAAGCTAATAAGCGTCTACTGTAACAAGAAACGTAATGTCACAGTCTTGAAGAAAGAAGGTGGTGATTTTGTATACGTTTGTATTTATGTTTTAGGTTTAACTCAAAACTTTTCATTTGTTCTGTAAGCTTCCTTCTTCTTCTCGTTATAAATCGGACTCACCATAATTCTTCAATAATCAGA